TGCAGAAGAAAGGTCAGTTACGTTAAGAAAAGTCACACCAGTTGCAACTTGTCGCATGTAAATGCAGACCTGTTTCTTTGACATTCTCAGGACATCTGTGAACGCGAGATATCTCTCGAGGATCTCGCGTTATATTTTATAAAATATATCTCATAAGATCGAACCATATAGTTCAAGGATTACGTTAAACGTTTAAAAAAAATATATACGTGCGTTATCGGCGATCAGAAATCGCAGTGGGAAAAGATCCGAGAGTTTCATTATACGCATGTAAATTTGTAAACTACTTGCGCCGCACGGTTCGCGCGTGTTGCTGACTGCTGTGGCGTGTTTGTGTTGAAAGTTCGGCATTATGTATTCGCGCATCGTGGTATTCCTTGATCCTTCACCTTTTCATTTTCTCCCTCGCAAACGCTCGCAACGCCCAGTTGTCAAATCGTCAGGTGCTCCGACAGCCCTGAGTCACAAAGCGCCCGATTTCAGGCGCGTGAAAGGACACCGCTGCCGATACCGAGCGTACATGGAGTGTATCTTGTAGGTTTCTCGCGGATATATACTCCGAAAATACCATTTGAAAGGAGGATTCGTGTTCGCGCGCGCTGTTATGAGCGCGAGTGGGAGTGTATCGTGACGCAATAGAGGAAAAGCACCAAAACCGACATACCATTTTATTTTTGAAGTTTAAAACTTTATTAAGGATGTACAATTAACATTGATGTGCATTGGTACAAACGAGCAACACTTTATCAAAATATGATACACAAAAAAAATTAATGTCGATTCAAGACTCATGTATTCTTTCATTCCTTCATTCATTCTTATTTATAAGCAAGAACATGTAATCTTAGTGGAAGACAAAACTTGCTTAAACATGGAGGAATTAGGAATTTAGTTCCATTAAAAAAATACATTTTCTGTTACACAAGAATAATTTTCATAAATTGAAAGAAAAAATATTGAATAGAAAGAACGATATCTTTAAATTGATATAATTCTTGGTTTGAGAATATCGTTCTTTTTGTCCAGTAGTTTCTTCTCGCAATTCATAGTACAATTTTATATTTAAGACCGTCTTAAGTTTATGTTCAAATGCTGTACGGCTTATTTCATTGCCTACAAAGCATCTGAAGATAAACCTAAGACGATCTTAAATATAAGATCTGACTATAAATATTGGAGTATGTTAGTTTTGGTGCTTTCCCTCTATTAAATGTACGTAACAAAACCGCTTATCTCAGGATTCCACAATGAGTACTTCAGTCCCGGGCTAGTGTAGACTTGAACAATGAGACGTATAGATAGATTTCTTTTTTAATTTCAACGGGAAGTTTAATAATTTTTATCGAAACTATATATGAACTAAGACTGAACAGTCTCAAGTTTTACAGTATTCGTCATGGACAGTTTGGAATTTACAACGATTATCGGGCTAGATATTTATCTATCCGGATGTGAGTTGAACTTCGGGACTGAACTATCGGAAAATAAAACTCAGGCTTTAAGATAAAAATTGTAAGATGAAGAGAAACTTCTATTTGTGGTGAGAAACTTCTATTTGCGGTGAAATTAACCCGACAATGAACGAACCAAGTACGTGTTCTAATCGAGGGAAGCAGAATTCTCACGGACCGAATTTGTTCCTTGAGGACCAGGAATTCTGCTCTCTCCAACGAAAACGTGTGTGGCTCGTTCATCGTCGGAATGATTCTCAACTGAACTTTTTCTTCCGTGAGCATTCCCGAGTAGAAATTTTGATCATACTCTCGACCTGAAAATTATTACATTCAATGAGTGTCTGCTTTAGCACTCTGAAACTTGTGTGAACCTCGTTTGGTTCTATTTAACCTTCCGTAAAATTGTAACTCTACTTTCGACCTCAATATTCCATATAAAATCTACTTAGGGTCGGAAGTAGGTATAAAATTCTGATCCCCCGGCAACTCAGCTTGCGGCACGTAACAGACGCTGAGACGACACTTCGACAACATCAACAACAACGCGGCAGCGCTGCTGCTGCTGCAGCGCTGTTGGGAAAACAAACGCGCGTGCACAGCACGCTGAAAGGGCGACAGCTTGGGAGCCGTGGCGGGGGCGGCGGCGTCCGTTGCACGCTGATAACACAATTAGCTTGTCTCGTCATGCGCGACCTCCGATAAGGGCCTCCTACCTCGCTCTCCCCGGGCTTCTCCCCGCAGCCCTTATCCTCCTTCTTCGCCCACATCGCGCGGTGTCGTGTTAGCGGCAGGATTGCCGGCGGATCGGCCGCGTCAGGCGGGATCAGGCGGGACAAGAAGATCCCCCCGGGAGCACGCGGCGTTTCAGGGACGCGCGATAAGGGCGTCGGCTTAACCCTCTCGGACGCGAAGAGCCCCCCCGCGACGTTAATACCTTCCGGCAGGTTTTCCTCGGTTGATTTATTCCGAAGGGGCTGCGCGGAGTTCACGGCGCCGCATGATACATACGCGCACAGGCGGATTTATAGAGAGGGGACGCGGGGACGCATGTCCCGAACAGTGGAGCGGCTTGTAAATGTCCGGATACGCGGAAAAGAAAGAAAAGGACGCTGCCGTCGCGCACTGCGCACCACCTGAGCACCGATTCTGTAATTGTTTTTCGTCCCTCGCTAATATCGCGCGGACTCTTTCCGAGAGACGCGACCTCCTCTCGAGCCGCGTCGGAAAACGCCCGGATCGAAATTTTAGTCCTAGTTTAAGTCTAATTTAGTTCTGCATTAAGTATTCAAAGGTCTTCTATTGCGCCCCTTTGGTGTTACAAATGGGGAAATTATTGCCGTTTTCTCCACTTGAAGACTTGACGTAGAATTTAAAATTTCGACTCGGACGATGCCGAGTCGAAATTTTAGTTCTATATTCTTCAAAAGTCTTCTGTTATGTTCCTTTGAATTACAAATGGGAAGTTATTTCTGTTTTCTCCGTTTGAAGACTTAATGTATAACTAAGTAGAATTAATATAGGACCAAAATTTCGACTCGAAATTGCTTACGTGGTCGCTGGAAATTTCGGAAAATTTGAAATCGTGAGATTTCTTGTTTCCACTTTTTTTCCTTTCTCACACGGTTCTATTATTATGTAACGTAACATTTTTAAGATCACCTCTACGTTATTGACGCTTATTAAGTTCATCATCAATCTGGGCATCCTTTCAAAACTCGACTCGGATAACTGATAACACATGGGAAAAGAGTTTTCCACGGGAATTTTCCTGTGTCTACGATCGAGATTTCATCCAATTTCCAGGCAAGAGGACATTCAGTTATACTAACAAACTAGTTTTCATCGTATATAAGTGTGTTGTGAAATGGAGACTCTCTTCTAAGGAAACTTTTCGAATCCGTCTATGTGTAAGGTTTACGTGCAGCGGCGGGCTCTCTGGGGAAGGGTGGTCACTGCAGCACGTGCCAGTTGGCCACGCGATCGTTTTATCCGTGCGAACGTTTAAAATAACAATTATTTTTATGTCGAGGTCGTTTATGGGTTTCCGCTTCCGACGGGAAGCCGTCAATGCCGGGTCCACGTGTCGGATCTTTCCGTCGCACGCGTGCACACGGCCGTCGATTCGTCCTGCAAAGGGTCAGGATCGTGACCCTTTACGCGTGGATATTCGTGTTTATAGGGATGGAGGGTGAACCCTTCGAGGGGGAAACTTTAACGAATCGTATATCCCAGACCGTAAATGGCACCGAAGTGCAGGCGGGGAAAACCCGTTGATCTGCGTTTTTCGCAAAACTAACGTCATACTTTCACTCCGAGCAATCCCAGATAATCTTGAGACGTCGCAAAAACGTCTTTTAAGCGGCGCCTACAATGAGAAGACGTAAGGCTTAAGCTGTAAGCCTTAAGCTGTAAGAAATTGACCAATCACGCTCAAACGTGAGAAGAATAATCGATTGTGACCGCTTAAGGTTTAAAGCTCAAGTCTTACGCGTTAAATTCTCATTGTAGACCCCACTGTAGACAATAAGACGTCTAAAGGACGTCTTTGAGACGTCCTGTGGATATACATGTTGTTTGGAAATGCGTCGCTTCGTTTTGCCACTCGGTGTGACGATCACGACACGACATTAATCTTATGCTTAACTTCTTCTTTTCACAGATCCTCCGCTACTACGATCCACTCTCGAAGATCGTTTTTAATTATCACGGTGCGAGGAGGAAAGGACTTCCCCGTTGGAAAACACCCTGTCTCGCCGGACTGGTTCTAGCGGCTTCATCGAACTCTCCTGTGAACTCGGAAAAAGCAGGGAATTCGAGAAAAAAGGAGAGACCAACGGGTGGCTGGAGAGCGTGCACCGGCCCGTAGGGGGTGGAACATGGTGCGGTAATAGCATAAATCCGTGGACTGTGTAGTCGGTTCCCGATGGCCGCGAGGAGAGGGGAGGGACAGGCCGGAGGCAGGCCGACTGTTGGAAGAAACGACAGTCGCCACTCGACGCCTGCACCGAACGGAAGGCAGCTCCACGCGAACACTCGGCATTTTCGAAACCTTCCCGAGCGTGTGCCGTCGTCGTCGTCGTTTTCTCACCGAGGAGCAAAGTCTCACGACGACCTTTCCGATCGCGAGCAATCACCCGCGAGTACGTCGCGCGCGCCTGCCTCGAAAAGGGAAAGAGGAAAATCATCGCTCCGAGTAGTGTTCCTTCTGGAAATAGATCGCGAAACGATGAAACGTCGCGGGCTCGTTCTGGATCCGGTGTGAACGTCTCGAAGAGAGAGAGACTTTGCGGTACCGATCGAGGGATCGCGATCGATCGGCGAGCGGAAGCGCCTCTTCCGGTCGGCGCGAATTTCGACGGCTTGCGCCGAGCGATTGCGCGCGATCGCTCTCTCGCGAGGAAGAGGAGATCAAGAAAAGGGACACTCTCTCTCTCTCTCGTATTCGTGCTGTCGAATCGCTCGGTCGGAGCAGCGCGATTCGCGCAGCAACGCGACTCGTGAAAGTGCAGGCCGGCGGCGTCGGCTGCCACGGGGACACGTCGATCGGCAACGACGTCGATCTGTCAGTCGAACAGGTGCGAGAGCCGCGACGAAGCGAAAACAGCCGGAGGGACGAGGAGAGGGGACACGACCTGTGCGGAGTGCGAGTGAGCGGTTTTGTTGTTCCGTGTCGAATGTTGATTCTGGATGAAGCGGGGCGAACGAGATAGATACACGTTGTACATATATAAATACGTTGAAATGTAAACGGAAATCGAGCGAGTCGAGAATGGACGTGCAATTGAGGCAGAAGTAATCGGGAGCGCACGCGAACGGATCGTTTGACAGGCCGGAGAGAGAGAGAGAGAGAGATAGAGAAAGTGACATTTACTCAATGATCCGAGTGAGACGGACGTGAAGATAAGAGAAAGAGACGGGTGGCCCGAAACAGGTCCCGGCGACACGTGACACTGACCAAAGCCTGTGCAATCGTGAAGGAAGACTCAGTGCGCGAGTGTGACACATTCGAGCGCTTCCTCGCTGTGCCTCGCTCTTCTCCGGTTATTCCGTGAGAAAGTGCGGGACCGGCAGGAGCCGCAGGAGCAGGAACACACGCGGTGCGTGATTATCCATTGACGAGACCAGAGGGAGGAGAGAAATTTCGCAACGTGACGAGAGGCAGGAGGGGAGGACAGCGTAAACACGCGCACGCGGGAAGAGGCGCGATAAATTGATACTGTTTTATCGGATATCAGCGAGAGTACGGGACGGAGCGAGAAAGAGAGACGGAGAGGGAGCAACGGGCCTTGCTTCCCGGGCGACCCGAACGTGGTAAGTGCGTTGTTTCGTTTATATCCACACTGATGTAAACACAGCGCGCGCGGCGGAAACGCGCCGCCGGCGTTCGACAGAAATCGATTCCCTCGATGGTCCCCGCGGATATCGCGAATGTCACGTATCTTACCGCGAGACCGCGTATCAAGATAGCCGACGGTTGGAATTTTCTGCGGCAATGTAACGGGCAAAGCTCTCTACGCGTGTCGAGACGGTTCTCGATGTTTTGTCGATGCCGCGAGAGCCCGGAGTAACGAGATTTTTATTTCATCGGTTTTCGTACCCTTCAGCGCGCGATATTGGGAATTGATCCCACTTTTTCATGCAAGAAGTTATCTCGCGTCGTCCGTGATGATGACGCAAGCTCATTCTTTATCGCGTTCCGTTCGCCCGCGGATTTCGCAATGCGCGCGTGTTCGCGAATTCGAAGCTCCGAATTCCGACCGCCCCGAAATCCCACTCGTATTCGTGCCGATCGTCACCGCCGGCATCGTCGGGAGGTGCGTTTTCGGAGCACACCGAATCCCCGCAGTCGCAGGTAATCGCGACGAATCGCAATATTAACACGTCGATCGCGGCGACGTGACGCGGCCCGCCCGAATGACCGATTAATTAATCGGCGGCGCGTGAGCGCGCGTTTGTTCGCTTGCTTGTAAACAAATGACGTGGAATCGGACTGAAAGCGCACGGTTGTTGGTACACCGGCCACTCTTTTGCGTAATTACTCACCTTCGTGTCGCTCATTAATACGAGATATTCGTTGCGCTCGGTGCGGAGGAAGGTACCGTGTAATTAAATTCCCTTGTATCCAAGAACAATTACGCTCGTTAACGGAGTGCACTTCGCGGTTCTCAATTGCGACGCGAAACGCAGATTTAACCCTTTAGCGGCGAGCACTTGCTCCTCGTTCACGTAATATGCCATATCGGGATATAGTGGAGACACGGGACAAAATTTCGTGTTAAATCAGTGCTGCCATCCAGTCACTCAAGTCATATTTTGTCATTTTTTCGCGGCAAGACACTGAAAAATTTACTGTCCTCCATTATAATCACTTTTGGTCATTATTTTTATGTGTGAGAGGTCACTTTTTGTCACCTTTTCTGCCAAGAAGTAGTCACTATTTTTGTTTCGGTAACTGGATGGCAGTGTTGGTTAAATTTAACACATTTCACGTGAAATGTGTGAAAACGGTCAACACAAACCTTTCTTATATAATACAAGGTAAATATGTTGAAAAGTAATACAAATATTATGTCCAAAATTAACGCAAAATTAATAAATTAATCGACGATGAGATGTAAAATGTATTATTTTAACACACGTTAAATATCAACTCAACACAAAATATATCGAGATAATATAAACATAATATGTTAAATTAACACACGAGTATATAAAAAATTGAACACTAAAATGTTAAGAAAGACCGATTTTAACACAAGTACAAAATATTTTTCACTATGGAGAAGGAAATATTACTATTTTTGAGGTGTGGATTTTACTGAAAAATTATGCCATCGAAACGCGGACGGAGTATCGATAATGAGTTATGGTAAACGGGCCAGCATTGACGAGTCAATAACGCGAAACTTAGCGTAAAACACGCGACGTAGGTAGGCTCGATCGTCGCTGACATCGTCAGCCATTCGCGGAGTCGCTGAGCAACGCGCCGTGAAATAAAACTACTTCGCACACGTTATTGTGCAACGAAAATTACTCCATTTAGCATACTCGTTACTCGCCATTGAACGCGAGGACGGGCAATTATTGACTTTTGTACCTTTCTCTTCGCGTCGGATACGTGCATGTGTGTCACGCGATGAAATTCAACGCGGAACGAACTTTAGCGGGATCGTGAAAAATGCGCTTGTCAAAGGTTATACTCAATGAGCGAGAGAAGTCGATTGGAAACGGCTAGATGCTGTTAACGATCGTGAACGACGACGGATATCTGATCGGAAAAATAACCTTTGGCCTGAGTTTAAAGTAGTTGCTCATAGTGACCATATTGTTAGAAAGGTAATGGTTAATACAACACGAAGAAGCTCGACAAATCTGTGCTAAATGATACATTTATAAATGTCATCTATGATAAACAGCTTTGATACTATAGCAAGAGAATATCAATCAAATTTATATAATGTTTAAAAACTTGTAAAGAAATGATCGTTTGTTGCGCTTTGACGTGTAATACTTTTGGCTGGAACTGTCCGTGTTAGGCGCAAATATTTATAAATATATTTATTATTGCTTGTGATTCGGTAAATTTGATATATTGCTTGTGATAACCATTGTAATGTTTGGATATAAATACGAAAGAAATGTTATTTGACGTAAAAATATTTATTATTTGGGAGACCAAACAATACTGTTCGTTGAATCAAATATTCGTGTGTTTGCTCTATTCCAAAAGACAAATTGGATTCAATCAAAGAATTTTTATTAAATCCAAAGAAATCCCTTTTCTCTGTATATTTTAAGATACGTTAACAAAATGTCTCACAGAGAACACTAACCAAAGTAATTAACCTCTTTAGCTGACGATTCGATAGGAATTTAGTCGTCCAGCGACGAGAAAATCATTCTCGGAATTTTCAGCTAGTCTCGTTCAACGGGAATGTTGATTTTCTGTGAAAATTAATATTTCATCTCTTTGTCTCCAATAGCAGTCAGAGAGATAATCCTATATGCCGACTCGTCCGGCGTTTGAATTAACCAGAGCGATCTCTGAAATATTTTATTGGATCGAAATGTGGATAGTACACGCTCTCGTATCGGGCGATCGCTCAGTCCAGTTCGGCTGGCGAGGTCACCGATACCCGGTTAACGGAGGTCAGGATCCGCGTTCAGGTCAGGCCGTAAAGAAGCCAATCCAGATCAAAGTAGATTACCATCACATGGCGATGTTAACTTCTCAAGACAACCGGCTCTTTGAGGTTTCAGTGGCATACACACTTTGTCGTGCCATATAGTAATCAGCTTCACCTAATCGATATGATATAATAATTCATAATATCTCGACTCGGTAATATATTCTCTCTCTTAAGTAGCTAACAGTTTCGATTTTTCATTTCCACTTTTTATTTTCTACGAGTAGAAATTAATTTTTGACGCAGGTTTATTTAAAATTCCGATCGTAGGAGTGAACTTAAGAAAAACTAATAATTTGCTATTCTAATTTGCCATTTTTGAGATGTTTAAAAGTTGCTCGTTCATATTAAGAATATTCAAAGAGAGAAATCTCAAAGTTGCCTATGTAATTGTGAATTCTACGTTGCAGGGTCGCTTTTCAATGAGACCCGACGGGAATATCGTGTCCGACGTCGATCTCGATCGCGTAATCCGCAGACTCATCTCACGTTTTCGGGTGTACGACGAAAGTGCGCGTGTCATCAGCCCGGAATGGTCGTGACACCCTTCTTTTCGGGGTTTTCCGTTGCGTCAATGAACAGACTGACTGGTGTTAACGTGGAGAAACGTTTGACGGGTCCACCGTAACAGAGTCGACGTTAATTTCTTCCCTTCTTTGCGGACCGAGTTATATTTTTTTCAGTACAAAGGAACAAAGTGGAGAGAGAAAGGAAAATTTTCTGGACGGATTGTCACGTCAGCGAATCCTTGATTATTTTCAATCACACGCGTCTGTAATGTCTCTAACTCTCTTCTTATCTTACATAACTATAAGCCGCGTCTGTGTCGCGCGCTTTATCTTACGTTTTTATATCTTTCACCTGATCCTTGACGTTATATCACGTAATTGAACGGCACTTCAATCGTCCTGAGCGGCTCGGGGCCGTATTCAGCTTGCGATTTCATGACCCGTGCGAAAGATAACCGAGCGGCAGGAGCGTCCGTTTCTGCAAATTGTCCGACGCTACATAGAAAACATACACTGTTTATCCGCGTGTCGTTCGGGAGAGCCCTCCGGATTCAGATTTACCCTCTTTCGTTGCCCTTCCTATTAAAGGCAGCAGCTGCGTTTAGACGATTGATACGGAAAGAGAGAGGGACAGAGAGAGAGAGAGAGAGAGCGCAAGCTCGATGGGTTCGCGCGCTCACGGTACCGTAGCCGGCGCGGATAAGAGGGACGGGTCAATAATTGTGACAGAAATTCAATCCTTTGCAAGCTGGACCTAATGCCCACCACTGACCGCCAATTCAATCAAGCGCCCGCCAATCGCGTACCCCGGAACGGGATTTTAGCCGGCGCACAGCGCCGAGGGATTTCGTTACGGTCCACTGCCGCCAAATAAAATTCCGTGGAACGCGCACGGGCCGAACGAAAATAGGTATTAACTACTCGATGGCGTACGTGATGGCTTCCAAACACTCTCCTATGTAAATCGTTCGCTAACGTCCGCCGGAGCGCGACAAAAGTGTTCGTCGATTGTCGGCGAAATGGATGAAAAATAAATTAAATTGCGCGCCCGCGCACAAGTCGGAGAGACGGGATCGATGACACGCGCGTTAAGTCGCGCGCGCAGGAAATTCTCCGCGTTTCGAGATATCCTGTCGGCGAAATCTCGCAAATTGGAGGACACTCGGGTTCAATTCGGGGGCGGGTCTCTCGGTTCTACATACGGAGTCGCAATGTTTGCATTGAGAAAAAACGTTTGGTATTTGTGACTATAATCGTAGTGAGAAAATTGTACGCGGGAAAAGAAATTAATATCAATTGAAGATTCGTATATTCTCATATATAAACATGAATACATAATTTTATGTAAAATTAATATAAAAACTTGTATAAGATGAATCTTATATAAAACTTGCTTACATGAAGAAATTCCATATAATTCCACTGAAAATATCATATTCTTGCTATTCAAGAATAATTTTCATAAATTGAGAGGAGAAAATATTAAATAAAATGAACGATATTTTCAAAATAAAAATTATTATCAGTGAAGATATCGTTTTCTCTATTCAATTTTTTCTGTGTAGTCAGGAGAATCATATTTGTAGTAATTGTTACTATAATGTTAGTGATAATA